ACGTTTGTCAAAGATCGCTGACGCGGCGCGACCTAGTTTTGACGGACGCGCGCAACGAAGCGCACCCGTGGGTCTGAACGACATTGTAGGCGCTAAGTCGTCGTGGTAAAAATTCAATGTGAGGAGTAAACCTTCAAAACAAATTTCTTGTTTTAACGGTTTTTTTTTCGAGAGATGTACGGAAACTACTCAATAGGAATTTGCGCGAATTTTCGTTGATGATCCACCTGGCATCTAGAATATTACGAAAAACTGCTATGAGAATCTCAATCAATTTCATTGCTTTTTGCTTCACTTTTCTTTTTAAATATGTTCTGGGGCAATTTGCCATTATTTTCCGTTTGCCATTTTATGCACCCTCCAATACCCAAACGATCATACCAGTAAACTACGAAAATTGGTTTACGATATCAGCCAAACCTCGAATACATGTGCAACTCGAAGGATTGAATGAGATTGCTTTCTTTCAGCTCATTCTTGTTTTCCTCATAAAGTTTCAAGGTACGCGAGTAACAGCGATTGTGTTTGTAGATGCCCATTTGCAGGTCGGTGCTCCCATGCTTGACATCAGCGTCTGGCGAAGTGCTTTATGCGATCATTTGTTCCGAGTGACTCTACAGGTCGGTATAGCGAACACCGATGGCTTTGACTGCTAACTGCAAACTTATCCAAATAATCGATGTTTCAGGCTGCTCATCTAATTTGTTCGCAACCAAGCTTCCCAGACGTTATTGTTCCTATTACCCACAGAGTGATTTTTTTATGAATTTTATTTTTTTTTAAACAAAGCTTCTGAACAGTATTGGAGAGTTGTTTTCTTGAACTATTTATTCACAAGTTTCGTATATCAGCTTCATTATACCGACCTATCAGCGGAATAGCCTTCTTTAGAGCTTAAAAGATCATATCAGTTTGTGGCGATCCACCACCCAAACCAAACACTCATTGTCCTTCTGAGGTTCGAGACCTCCAGGGCATGCGCATAACCTTAAAGGCACAGTTCATGATAATTTTAGGTAGTCCAGATTATCATGAAAAATGGAGGACAAGGTCGAAAATAGTGCGATGAAGGTGGAGTAACTGCGTGAATCGGTGTTTCCAAAGTGAGAAAGGGCTTCAAAAAACCGTTACAAAGGGGGCTGGGAGAGAATGAGACCGGAAAAATGAGGAAGAGTGAGGCGTTTGTACGAGCTATACAATGTGTCTCACTGCGTACGTGTGGGTCCTGGCACGAATAACAGACTATGGTAAGCAAAAATTCATTCACTTATAAGCATAAGTAAACAAAAAACCCTAGTAACAGNAAAAGTAGTTGGTCTTTTTCAGCCCCTAGGAGTAGGAAATTATATAAGGGATCGCGGCAGCAAAAAGAATAACAGAGGGAAAAAATGGGAGAAAAACACCGCCTAATCACTCGGCGATCAGCTGATTGTGTGTGGGTCCTAGAACAAACAGTTGCAATCTGTATTCGTGTTATGACACTCGTCTGACGTGATGACGTGACATCGATCGAGAGGTGGGAAAGCCATTGACGTTCCCGCCCATTGTATTATCGTGAACTGTGCCTTTAAGATATCCACTCACCGTAGTTTCGTGGTTTCTCCACACCCACCCAGCAATCGACCACTCTCGGCTGGGGTTGGTCTTCATCTAAAATGCTGTGCAAACGCCAGTCTTACATGCTATCTCCTTCGGAAGTGCCATCGGTTAGGATGTGGACAACCGTTGCATATCGATATCTTTTTGCTCTTGGCTGAGGAGCTCGATCAGGCTTTCAAATCCATCCTGACTTTTGGTGATTCCTGAGCATTGAGATGTTTCTCAGGTGAGAAGGTTCGAACCTAAGAAGCTTCACCAAAGTACTATCAGGAGACAATGCTCTCCTTTCAACAGGTTTGCGACCGTAGCTCACCAAGTGACTATAGTCAAGTATAGCCTTACAGTGGAGCCGGTCTTGAAATGGTCGTCTAGACTACCGTTTTTCGCACAGCAAAAGGGAAAAGGAATGCGAGGATGAGATACTGAAGCACAATTCCAAGATCGCACGAGATTGCCAGATAAGGGGATGATTCAAATTACGGTCACTCGGGATTTAGACGAACCCTATCACGCAGTCGTGTAGGCCCCATGAGTTGCTGAGATCCACCCTTCCAGGTGGCGCCATGACCCTTCAAGGAAACTACTAGTCCAGGAACGCCACTTTCGACTTTGACAACTGCATTGTTGTATTCTAATTTTAGCAAACACTTGTCCTTTAACTTATAACCATCACACATAGTTCTGCCAGAGTGTCCTCGAGAAGTATTTTGAAAACTTCAGTTTGTCTTTAATAATTGTTTGATACTGTGTAACGACTAGTGATTCTATGCCGCCTTGTATAAGCTTTATTCTAACCTTCAATAATAATGACGGTATGCAAAATAACATACTTACCGTAACAATGTATTTGTGAATTCAGATTTTTGAAGTTGTGTGCGAAGGTTTCGCAAGTTTGAGGGAAGAATAACCCTGTGAAACTATTTTTCATCACAGCTCGAATATCCGAAAGAATGCAGTCATGACGGCCATGATTATCAGAAATCCGCCTCATTTACTTTGAAATTCCCGTAGATGTTTCGTACATTTGGTCTTACTTTGTTTGTCACAGATTCGAGACTTTTTGCGGAAGATTCGATCAGTTGAATTCGCACGTTGCTTCCGATCTCTACTCGAGAAACTCGAAGAGCACGCGAAATTTGTGGCAGACATTCTTCTTACGAAAGAATTCAGTATCAGAGACGATGTTCAAGTTGTGAGTTCTGCTTTCATTGTGTGTGGCCAATTCCTAGAAGTAATGATCGTTTAGATGTCTCTGAAACTGGCACTCAACGATCCCTCCTCTCCACTACGTGTCTTTTATCGACAATGGGAGAAAACGTGGCGTTTGAAGGAGCAAATGCTGACCACGGTAACTTATTCCACTTCGACATTAATCTTGAGTTGGAAACGTGTTTACGTTTAGTCAAAGACTAAAGAGGCCGCCAAGCAAGTAGCCACTCAAAAGAAGCAGCAGAAGAAGAAGCAGAAATCCGAAAAAGTATCTATTTTGCCTTACAACTTGTCGAACCCTTTTTGATATTTACGGCTTTCTAGGAGGAGAAGGTGAAAGAAAAGCCTAACAAGAAGAAGCGGAAGTCAACGGCAGCAGCGGACCGAGCTGACGAAACGATACCAGACCAGCTTCTAGAAGATCTTGGAAATTGGAGTGATAGCAACTAACCCTTATCAGACTGCCTCAAAGAATCATGTTGGCCTAGAGATGTTGTTTCGTTGTTGCTCTCTTGTTTGTTTTTGTTGTGTTTTGATCAAATGTTGTTATAAACTGGTTGTAAACCGAGGGTCTGGACTCTCTTTACAATCGATAAAATGGATTCCACTCCTTTATCTATATAACCAATCGGATCTCCCGGCTTACCAAGGACTTTTCCTTTCTTTACGAAAGAAATGCACTTTAATTGGCGGAGGGAGGGGCAGGGGGTGGAAGGGAGGGGAGGGTGAATACTGGTAGCGCTTTCTAAGGGCGGAGCGCAGAGGGAGGGCTGGCTGAATTACCTGTGCTTAGAGACGGTTCTAGGTGGAAGAACATAATTTCCATATAGCCTCAGAAGGTGAGTAGCATCCGGATGGGTGAGATGTTACCTCAAGGCAAAAAGTTGGTATGGGATAGGAATTGAACATTCAGTAGGTTCACCATCCCAACCTCCCCTTCTAAGGCTTAAATAAGAAATTGTCTGTATGTAGTGGGCTAAAAAACGTTTCTGCGCACGGTTATGAGCTCGCAAAGTCAGCCAATATTCGTGCTTTAGAGTTTAATGGTACAAAAAGAGGAGTTCCGCTCCTCCTCCCCACTACTTCCGATAGGTATAGGCATGCAGAGTGCGATGCCAGTATAAGTCGAACCCTACTCAGCTGATAAAATCTCACTTCTAAGACACTCCTTCCCAGACAGTTGAGTATCCCACGCACGATTGTTTCTCGGGCTACGGTCACTCTTACACCTACAAACTCTTACGCTAGATAGGGCGGGATAAGGCACCAAAAGCGGCTCAACTATTACACCCAGAGTGGACGAGTTTTTAAGCGTTGTAAAAACTGTAGAGGTTGCATCATTCGCACCAAGACCCACCCCTTCCACACGGGCAGCTCACTGTAACAAACTGTATGCAATGCCGCGCACATTTGTACAGCTTGTCCGAAAACCCCTTCCATGCAACTTCTGCCGTCACCTCCTCGTCCGACTCCCAACATTACTTCTTTTCTGGAGCCTTCTATTTCTCTGAACGTCGATTCTCGCGTTTTCTTCGCCACTCTTGCACTACACTAAGGTCAGGTGCGTTCGATGAAGGCACATACAGCGAAAAACTGGCCAGGCTATCTCGAAAAGGCTTTTATCATACCTATCCATGACTTCAAGTGTTTTCCAGTCCTCGAATGCAAGCTTTCGGTTCAGCCGACATGCGGGACACCATCCGCCCCCGCAAACTCCCCTCACACGCAAGCATGGATACGCTGGGGAGAAATAATGTATAAATCAGCACAGGAGAAACAGGGGGACCATCCCCACAATTCTTTGCGCCTCTAAGTAAGTATCTGGAGGTTTGATTCCCACCATCCCCCCTCCGCTCTCACACACACACACACACGTGGTGCCGAGCCGAGTACTCTCGCCATCAATCGGCTGGAGCTCCTTCGATGAGAGAAATTCCTCGTACAACGGGATCCGTGAGGGGATGAACATAATGAATGGAATTTCTTAAAATATTGAACCCACTCCAGTTGGTTCCTCAAAATGTTACAAAATTAGTTTAACTGAGAGCAAACTCCGTTTGGTGGCTGCTCTACGGAAGCTGTGTGTTCTTCTGTCACGTAAGGAAAGTACAGAAGATCTAGAGAGCGGAAATCCCCATAATCTCAATGCTGCAAACATAAATTTTAAAAAGTTGAGTAACATGTCGTTGCCAAAGCATTCAGAGTTCAGTCTCATGACTATTTTCTCACTTCATTAGGCGATATTAACTTATGGCCTACCATTGCCCGAATCGAACAGGACTTTATTGGAACCTAAGTATTCCCGTCATCAGAAGATAAGCTAATGATCATCACAAGATCTCAGAATAAAACCACCATGATCTAAACGGTTCTTCCATAAACCATCCTCAGCTCCACTCTCAGTCAGATAGTGTCGCTGTTTCCAATTTTATGGTCAGTTCGTGGAAAGCTCGGGTGCTGTCGCCTCTTCACGAATTCCGAAATCCGCCAAAATAACACCGTGACGAACCCCTCATAACGAAAAATCTCGTGACTTTTCTAGGGTCAGTGATGGATGGCTAGTCGATAATCCGGCGTAAAACTTAATGACACATCAGAGACGATTACGTCCTTTAGTACATTTCAATAGGAGAAGTTCATCTCTAGGACATTCGTGGTACCTAAGTCTAAAATATCGGCTTGAGGTCGTTGGTTTACTGACACTCACGTGTGACGCTTTCAACTCGCTTCGCCTCAACGCATGTCTCGCTTTTTGGTTACTTGATGACTACCGAATTATCTCTTTACCACTTGGGCAATGCACGCTAACGCGTGCACCATGCCATACCCACTACCGCTTACCTACGACTTGTTGAAGTACCAATATAATTAGTATGGCTGCTTTCATAGTACGCCGGCCGGCCGGCACGCCGACGCAATGACGTAAAAGGAAAAGGTGAGCTATTGATTCGTAGCGAAACACGCACACACACACACACCGACACACTTCGTGCGCGACTTGCCCGCCAGGTCGTGCTCGAATTTTGGCATCCCCTTTTACTCCAACCTGACTGCGTGTGGGCCGACCCTCACACCCCCTCCCCCTCCGCTGAAGCCTCCGCGGGCCGGATCCAGTTCAGTCACTTTCTACTACCTACCATCGCTGTCTTGAATCTGCCACCTATAAGCGCTTCAAATTTGAACGCCCAAACGCCCAAAGCTCGAATCAGCAATTTGCGCGTACGTACCGCTTCCAGTGGGCGGAGTCAAGTCTTGACGCTAACCAGGGCAGCATTTTCTTACTGCCTAAACCTAAACCCCTTCCAATTCGAAGTCCTCAGTCCCAATTAAGAATTTTCACGCACGCCTCGCCTTTCGTGAGCAGGATCAAGTCCTGTCACGATGCATTAGTGTTCCCATCCTGCCGCCTATACTATTACCAAATTCAAACTCTAGGTCTTGAGAAACAAAAGTTATGAGTTTCCGGTCAGACACACACACGCAAACACATACATACATACACGCACACACATGCACACCCACATATCGCACACACACCCACAAGCCTAAAAACAACACACCCACATGAAATACACACAAACCATACACACACGCACCCACAGGCACAACACACACCCAAACACATACACTCACAAACAACAGGCACACACCCACACACGCAAACGCACAGACATTGAACTTCAATCTAATTCGCTAAGATCTAAGTTGAATTTCACACTCACGAAAAGCATACGAGAAACTAGCAAATCCATGTCGAACTTTGATCCTTTGAAAAAATCATTCACTGATGAACAATCAACTCACCTGTCAACTGAGATTATCAATCAAGATCATTGTTGCCGAGCAGCTGTTATCAAATCACTAGCACGTCTAGATCGATAGCAACCTCTTAACACTTAATCACTATAGCCACCCAGTTAGCACCGAATGATTGCAAAAAACTCGAGATCACCTTCCCCACGTTATGATAACATGAACCCCAGACAAAATGTAGCCTTCAATGCGAGCTTCAAGGGAGTAGTTGTGGGGTCCGTCCAACACTTGTACAGCTATCCCATCAGGCAGCCCATAGAACTCAGCCGCATATTTGGTAAACCCAAGTGAGATGCGAACCAGAATACGACAGCGATTCGAGCTTTTTATGGGATGGCAGGGCTAAACTTGGCCCAGATTTGGTCATAACTAAACCACAATTAAAAGCCGATTGTCGAAAAACGATCCCTTCCGTCCAAAATATTTACTAGCATCTACAGGAGTTCGAAAAAAATCCAAATTAGTACATCTTCGGTACAACTGCATTGCATTGGAGAAAAACCAGTCGACAAAGGACGATAAAAAGCAAGTTGTAAAGTTGCGAATTGACATAAACGACGAAATCAGTGATCTAAAAAGAGTGAACACATTCAGAGCAGACAATGACAATAGTAGTATCACACAAACGCTATGAAAGAAGACTAAATTAGCGGTTCACTAAGGTGGAAAAGTACATGACGGCGGCACATTGAATGAGCTTCCATCGATATGACCTTGCGCAGCCCACCTGAAACACTGTCTCATTTTTTGAAGGCAATGAGTAGATTTTTTGCAATTAAAAAGCGAAGACTAACTGGTGTAAGCATTCTCCTAAATTTATTCACCTAGTTCTTCATATTCTAGTTCAGAGTATCGCCAACCAATCATTTCGTTTTCTCAAACACAAGGGGTGATGAATACTGGCGCACGCTTCACGAAATCTATGAACACATTCAACCGAAGGTATAAGCGTAAACAGCCTTCAAATTTCACAAATCTTTCTGGAGCCTTCAGGAGTACTAGCCTGCGCGTACTGAAAGGCTACACTAGGCTCCGAGATGTTAAACTTCCACGGAGGAAAGAATTGGACAGGTCGCAACGACCCTATCCTAGCGCACGCACGTCGCGAATACACTGCAAATGTAGATGTGGCTTAAACTCAACCCCAACTTATCCCAGAAGCCTAATAGAAGGGAGGGCGCGAAGTCAAAATATCATAAGACCAAGGTAAAAATAAAGCAGGCTGATTCACTTATAAAAGCACAGGTCTGGTTTCCAATGACTTCTTTTGTAGTTTGCTACTGGATAAAATTTTTATGGAAACCGATGAAGCACAATACAAAATACTTAAGTCATTGTAGGAATATAAGCCAGAAGGCATTCAAGCAATGAATTGCCTAATTACCGTTCACTCGTCATTAGCGCGGAAGAAACCACCAAATCCTCGACGACGCTTAGGGATACTCGATTCAGCTTCCTCTTCACTTATTTCTCGGATTACAGGACCAGTATGCCCACCACTGGGTCGTTGCGAACGAGAGGTACGGCTTAGAATTCTGAAACATACAGCATCCAAGCTAATACACTTGAAGTTTCAAAGTAACACGAACCTCTCCTCTTCTTCATCATCTTCTTCAGGTAATGTTATGATAGGAGCACTAGACCTTGAACTACCGGCGGCATCGGCGGAATGATGGCGATAGCCGCCGTATGTGCCATCACCCAGGGCGCGCCTTCCACTGGAAAGTTGGAATAACGATGGAGAAAAATCGAAGAAGGAGAAACAAGGAAACGAAAAAAAAAACAACCGCACTTGTTACTATACCCCATATTGGCCCTCGCTCTCGATTGGAATTCGCGATCAAAATCTTCTGCAGCGGCTGCAAATAAAGTAACATCAAAACAAAATGTATAGTTTCATCAATGAAACATAGAAAAATGAGAAAACCAATTGCCAATATATGGAGATAAAAAGCGATGTTAATTGCGTACAGCAACTAGAAAATAGCTGCATTAAAGATCATCTAAAACCCTTAGTGACGTAGAAACTGCGGTTAATGTGAAGATGCATGTTGTGATGAAAAACATTACATTTGTAAGGTGAAGTTCACAGGCCAACATCCAAAAATTCAAAATCCAGAAGAGGAGCTCTCAATTGAGTGATCTCTTCAGAGGTTTTCAAGGTTTTGTGGATAAAAGGAACAGGTATTCAAAAACTCGCGATTTTTTTTGAATAAAACGAGTAGGAGAGGTAAGAAACTGATACTCTGGCGCTCAGTCAACATTTCGTCTACAATTGCGCATAATATGTTCTTTAGACTTGTTTTGGTAACCGACCAGTTGTGAAAGCGATTGCCACCGACATGTGCCTTTCGTTTACCATAACAGTTGAAGTCGTACGCTAACAGGATGGGTAAACACGGCGGTTCATTCCAGGATTCGATACCTTTCTTCAGAAAACTGCTGCACAATTTGAGGTGAGGTGGGTCTTGGCAGGAACATGAGCAAAGATAGTATCCTGTATTTATGTGCTGCTATACAACTGTCGCTATTATCGTGGAAAAACTGGTGAGACCCTCCCTTAAGTCTTTTTGTTCATCGAAAAACATCACACCCTAAAATTCTATAGCCATGATAAGTGTCTGCTTGGAACCGCAAGACTCTGCACGAATAACTCCTGACGCCTCCTCACCTACCCTAACTCGAAGTTTTGCACCTTTGGGCTCGATGGCAAATCCACCGATTCTTCATCAACCACCAACGTCCCTCCAAAAATGGCAAATGAATTCGGTGGAGGGGAAGTTAATTACTGCAGGCATCATAACAGTTTTCAAATTCTGCTTCTGTAAAAATTAAGGTACATATACACACATCCACTTGACCGTATTCTATTCATTCGGAACAATTCTGTTAAGGGTTTCAGCGGAGATGCCGTGCTCGCGAGAATTTAAGCAATTGCCCAGTCTCTCTTCGCGATACCCTTCTATGCCTGACTTCATCTACCCGCTCTTCGTGTGCAGAAAATTATGAGCACCACCTCAGCCTTTTCTTGGGGGTACTAAGCGAGAGCGGTTGTCGGAAGCGATTTTGAGCTATTAATGCCCCATTTTAGACAAATGCCAGCGGGACATAAAGTTGATAGAGGGTTTCGTAGCACCTGATAATGAGCCAGTAGCACCCTGCGATCACGTGGTGTAGGCCGCTATGGAACATCCTTATTAGAAGAGAGCGATCATTCAGATTCAACACTGCCAATAATCGATATGACAACAATATCCAGATGGCAAACAAGAGAGCGAAGCCGGGAAGAAAGACTAGAGCGTTGGTTTACTTAATACTCACTTGTAAGACCAAACAGACGGTATTGATCGCTGCGCGACCGACTGTCGCCCGTGTAGGTCACCTAATGCAGAAAATTAGGAATTACTGCCTTGTTACGCACCCGGCTCCACTGGGGCTATTCTGTTGGAAAAATCGCTTTTGACAGTCAGAAGAATCACGTCTCTCCTGAACTGTGCACAAAGTTCACCTTACTGGTAAGATAATATTTTCCAAGATAAGAATGGTATGCGGTTCCTGGAGGTTGTTGCGATGCAGTACCAAACCACAAATCACGTATAAATATGATAGCAGTGACTTGCACTTAGTGGTGCGATTATGTGGGTAAAGGTAACCAATGAGAAGTTACCCTCGATCAACTTTGGCTGAGATACTGATTGTCTGCTGCAAGGTATGCTGAATACATTTTATCCTAGCTGCCCGACCTCATTCCGCTTAGCTACAAAATTTTGAAAAAAAAAATCTGGGGTAACATTTGCAATGCAGAAAGCCGCGACAGACTTAAATTTCAGTTTATCTGCACTCAATCATCGCCCGTTGCTTCAAATGATTCTCAAACCGCTCGAACCTTTATACATGAAAGCCAGATGAAAAGGCAGCTACGAAACTCGCCAAGAAAGGCATTTCAATGCCAAAAAACTTCGAAGCGTTTATCTGAGGTAGTCTCGCTTCAGAAACATCTTGAACCTATGAAAGACTTCATTTTAGAGGAACTCACATTCGTCAAGGTTTACAAATCGTTGTTGGCGACGGACATTGCCATCCTTGTCCCTTTTCTTCTCAATAATATGTGTTCTATCGCCTATTGTATGACCGATCGACATCTCCTCCCGTGCACCATCACGAACTGCTCTGAAGCACAGAAATTGAAAAACGTGAAGGGCATCCAGGAGTACTCATATACCTTCTAGTCTCCTTAACATCGCCACTTTTTCGTACAGAATTTTCAACAACACGGGGCTGTCCATCGCCACCAAATGTCACCATGGTCGACTGCGAGTATACGTGCGAGTTCGGATCATTCATAGCGCGTTCTTGCAAATCCTCCTGTAACAGTAAGGAATTCATTGAGGCACATGAAAAATACGTGAAAGGCCAAAGTGACAACCATTACTGAAAAAAGGCCGCCAAATCCACGGAACGGATCAAACGGTCGCGCAACTTGGCGATGTGGCGGTGGTGGACCCTAAAAACCACATTCCAATGAGTAGCTAAAAATTCTTTGATAACCTGCACATTCAAGAGATTCATTATGCCCCGTTGCTATTTGTACTGCTGCTACCTGGACTAATGCTTTCTCAATTGAAGGTCAGCTAATGAGCATATCAAACTTCACAGGCTATCAAAGTTGAAATCGCCGCATCATACACTATGAACTTTAGGTGAAAACTCTGGAAAATACCTCTAGCATGCCCATTCCTCCAAGCATCCCAAACGGATCCATCATGGAGTTCATCATGCGATCCATTTCTTGAAACTGACGGTGCATTGCTCTGAAAGCAAACTGAACGCAATCGAAGGAGACACATCATTTTCGAACTCAAGCAGTCAAAATAGGTTTGGATCGGCTATTATGGAAAACCCCAGCACACGATTTATGGTCGTTCGACACAATCAGTACTAACCGGTCTTCCATCGACCTACTAATTGTAAGACCTACCGCGCAAGAAACAACGATTTATAGACAAAATAAAGTTCACTAAGTAATTTGGCACCATTGAGACGCCCTCAAGTATTTAGCTCCACAAGGGGCCCTGTTTCACCTTCCCTCAAGATGGTTCTTAAATGGTTTTGCAAAGAAAAGTAAGAAGAAGGGGAAGATGAAGTCAAAATCAACCACATCCTACACCCACTCACAGATTTTCACCATGGTTTTCTTCCAGAACTTCAGACTCTCACTTCTTTAACTTTTTGTTGCTTTCAAAAAGTCCAAGTACGCAGTGTTCACTGGATTCAAAGAAAAAAATTATTGTTTGAAAACCATTAGCTAATGAAAAGGACNATGAAGTCAAAATCAACCACATCCTACACCCACTCACAGATTTTCACCATGGTTTTCTTCCAGAACTTCAGACTCTCACTTCTTTAACTTTCTGAACATTTAGAAAGTAATAAAAGTCAAAACACTTATTCTAGCCTTTTTGCTTTCAAAAAGTCCAAGTACGCAGTGTTCACTGGATTCAAAGAAAAAAATTATTGTTTGAAAACCATTAGCTAATGAAAAGGACGTTCGCCAACAGAACTAATATATGTAGTTACAGTGTACAGTTCATGGAGTAACACCTGAACGTATTTACCTGTGCATTCCTCCAAACCCGAAAAAATCGTCATCGTTGAACATTGCGGGCCTGAAATTGGATATATTCTTTGAAAAAGGATGTCATTGATGTGTATCAACAAGGAACATCTTTGTTGAAAAGTTAGAAGCCGGAAATGAAGAAGAAATGTATAAAAGTATCCTCATGAGTTCACCTCGGGGATCTGCACAAGCTTCAAATTTACTTGATACTTGCATAAAAGGAGTAGAGAACGACTAAATTAAAAGGGTTAGATCACTGCACCCAAAGGTCCGAGAGTTTCATTAAATTTTTCAACTGGTGGGAGTACAGTGAGGTCCTCCACCCTCTGGGTCCTTTACAGGGTGCGACATCAGAACCACCAATAATCACACATACCCAGAGTGACACTCATTTGATGAGAAGCTAATAAGTTTGATTTGAAGGAATAAAAAAATCATTCGATCACTTGGCATGAGTATAGAATGGGCATTTAACTTATCAGATCGGCTGGATCTTTTGTTATGGATAAGCCCAAACTATTTGAGACAACCTGAACCGATTCCAGTGACACTTGTTGAGTGAAGGATCTTCAAAATGAAGCGCGAAGGAGATTCGCTCCGAGCCCAGAGAAGTTCTACCCTTACGTACACCAAATGTGTTATATAACCAGGTAAACAGGTGCGGAAGGTAAATACGAAAGTATGGGAGTCAGCGAACAAGCAACGGAACGGATGAGGAAAATCCTCATAAATAAGGTATGTGTCACATGGCTTAGACGCTAAACTCGCAGGAGCCTCAGCTCGTGCTTGTCCAATAATCCTCGGGTAGTTGGCATAAATGCTTACGCTCCTGAACAATCTCATCGAAGACCTGCCAGGTCCCGAACAAATTTTCGTGGGAGATTGGCTAATTTGTAATTTTCACAGCAAATGTCGGTTAGAATTCATTGCACCAGATTACCACAGAAACGCCAAAACCTCAAAACATCCAAACACTCGAGTTTTTCTTTCCCGGTAGGAAAAGATACATGCTTTGTTAATACCGTTTGTTAGTAAAGGGACGCTAACCACACTGACAAAAAAAGGGAAAAACCAACCACATCCGAGGGAACATTTCTCCCTACTGACGACACTATAAGAAAACAAACTTGTAAAACGAATATGAGGAAACACGAACACAGACCTGTTCCTCTTATACGAATTAGAGAAAGTGATGGATGTGAACCACACCCAACAGCGGAAACGTTTAACAGGGCACCACAAACAAAATCAGCTGACGTCGGCGAGATTTTCAAGAACATTCGTACTGACGTCGATACTTCGTTTCAGGACCACAACAAGGCGTGGCAGCCGATGCAACTCGTCCTCGTTGCCGCCCGTAGTTTGTTATGTATTGCTTTTCTTCTTCTTCATTTCTTAAGTAAATGCTATCTTCCTTGTTTCATTTAGCAAGAATGTGGATGCGATTGCTTTGCTAATACATCCGAGACTAATTGGGTTCTCCCAAGCGTCATAAAGATGTCCTTTTACCATTGGGAGAAGTAGAAAACAAAAAGGATTCCTGGAAGTCGCCAAGGAATCGCATTGATGGTAATTCCCCTTTGTACACAAAACCAGTACAAGTTGCCAGTTGTGGCCGCTATTTCTAAATTCATTATTTGGGGAAATCGGGGCCATTTCGACCAGTATTCAATTTTAATATTGTGAATGTGGGGGCGACGCAGTGGAAATCGATAAATTTTTTTATGAGGTTACCTATCGTAATATTGATGCTTATGTAGCACAAAACTCCTGGAAAGTGGTGTTCTCTCACATTCCAAAGTTTGGCCTACATTGGTCCTAACCGAAAGATTGCATAGAACTTCGAATGTAATTTCTGCAAAATGGTTCCGCTGC